CCCTTCGCCCCCTCAGCAGATGCCCAACAACATGGGGCCCCCCATGCAGCCTCCCTTCATGCCCCCCGGACAGATGGGGCCCCCCTCTGGACCCCAGGCTCATCAGGGACCCCATCAGGGCATGATGGGGCCCCCGGACATGCAGAGACACCCTGGCCCTCCCAGGAACATGGGACCCCAGGGGCCTCACGGTATGGGACCCAGAGGGATGCAGGGGCCCCATGGAGGGATGATGGGCCCCCCTCCTCGAGGAATGGGTCCAAGAGACCCTCAGGGACCTCCACCTCAGGGGGGGATGATGCCACCTCAGGGGGGCATGATGGGGCCCCCACCCAGGACACAAAACAACTATGGGATGGGCAACATGCAGGGGCCCCCGGGAGGGATGCACGGGCCACCAGGAAACATGCAGGGGCCCCCAGGTAACATGCAAGGACCACATGGAAACATGCAGGGGCCCCCTGGTAACATGCAGGGACCCCATGGAAACATGCAGGGACCCCCAGGAAACATGCAGGGGCCCCCAGGAAACATGCAGGGCCCCCCAGGCAACATGCAAGGACCCCCAGGGAACATGCAAGGACCCCCAGGGAACATGCAAGGGCCCCCAGGGAACATGCAGGGGCCCTCAGGGAACATGCAGGGACCCCCAGGGAACATGCAGGGGGCCTCATACATGCAGAACTCGGGGCCCATGATGCACGGGATGGGTTCTCAGGGGTCCAACAACAAAGGTAAGAGGGAGGGGCCCCTGGTGCAGGTTAATCACCGCGAGGCCCCTCCCCATCCTGATAAGGTCTGTTTCCTCTCCTCAGATCCCCGAGGGCCCCCGCCCAACCACCACATGGGCCCCCCCGAGAGACAGGGGGGCGGGCAGGACCAGGGCCAGGGCCAGGGCCAGGGCCAGGGCCAGGGCCAGGGCCAGGGCCAGGGCCAGGGCCAGGGCTCGGGCCCCTACTGGGGCGAGCAGCAGGGCCGCCGGGGGCCACAGGACTTCGAGGGGGGACAGGACTTCCACAGCAGAGCGGAGGAGGGCTGGAGGCCGGGTAACCGGGGGGGCCACAGAGGGGGGGGGCAACTGGGGCTCCGAAGAGAGGTTCCCGGTGGGAGTTTCGGGGACGAGAGGGACGACAGGTGAGGTGTTAGCAAGTGAGCCGTGTTACAGCACACACTTGGCGTGTGATTGTTTACGCCGTTAGGCGTGTGAGTGTCTTAGCACGTTAGCGTGTGAGCTTCTTAGCACGTTAGCGTGTTAGCACTTTGGCGTGTGAGCATCTTAGCACGTTAGCGTGTGAGCGTCTTAGCACGTTAGCGTGTTAGCGCGGTGTTAGCACGTTGGCGTGGAGCGTGTTAGGCAGTTAGTCGTGTTCATGAAGCGTCTTAGCATGTCGCACGTTAGCGTGTGAGCGTCTTAAGCACGTAAGCGATGGTGAGCGTCTTAGCACGTTGGGTGAGTGTTTTAGCACGTTTGGCGTGTTAGCGTACTTAGCTAGGGGTGGTAACAACTAATCGATTAAAATCGATGACCAAATTAGTTGCCAACTAATCAGTCGTCGATTAGTTGGTGAGTCATCACATGTGTTTTACGCGCCGTTAAGCCTCCAACGTGTATGGTCTTTTTATCGGTACTGGAGACATTTAAAAAATATGATTGTCATGTATTATGCTACATAAGCATTATAATCGGCAGTCTAGTCTTCTAATATGCAAAAGACAAACAAATGCGGTCTATGATGTATTTTCGCTCATGACGAGATCCTCTCCCGTCTGTTGTGGAGGGGCGGGGCAGTTTTACACATACGCAGCATGGCTCCATCAGCAACACACACACACACACGCAGCGCTCCATACAGCAACAAACACACACACACACACACACGCAGGCTGCTACATGCAGCAACAACACACCACACACACACAGCACGCAGCTGCTACATGCAGCAACACACGAGGAGATGGCGGAGAGGAAGCGTCCGGGTGTGGTTTAACTTTACCCGTCTCATGTGGACAATCCCGTTGCCTAAAGCTGTTAATAAGAGTTTATCATGTAAGGGCGGACATGAGCAGTTGTCTAAACATTTAGCAAAAGTGGCTCATGTTACCGCCCTTACATGACTAAACTCTTATTACACTTTAGGCAACGAGGATTGATCCACATGGAGACGGGTAAAGTTTAACCACACCTCGGAGCGCTTCTCTCCGCATCTCCTCAGTGTGTTTGCTGCATGTAGCAGCATGCGTGCGTGTGTGTGTGTGTGTGTGTGTTGCTGCATGTAGCAGCTGCGTGTGTGTGTGTGTGTGGTGTTGTTGCTGTATGGAGCAGCTGCGTGATGGTGTGTGTTGTGTGTTGCTGCATGGGAGCAGGCTGGTTATGTGCTAAACTGCCCCGCCCCCTCGCCACAGACGGGAGGATCTCGTACTGATCGAAAATACATCATAGACGCCATTCTGTTTGTCTTTTTGCATATTAGAAAACTAAAGGACTGCGGGGGATATAAATGGCTTATGTAGCAATAAACATGACATATATTTTTAAATGCTCCAGTACCGATAAAAAGACCAATCAACGTTGCAGCTTAACGGCGCTAAAAACAGTGATGACCGTCAGCCAACTAATCGGACGGACTGAATTAGTCTGGCAACTAAATTTGCGTCACGATTTTTAAATCGATTTAGTCTGTTGACCCCCTTAGCTAAGACGCTAACACGTCAACGTGCCTAAAAACACTCGCGCCAACGTGCTAAGACCGCTCACACGCTAACGTGCTAAGACGCTCACACGCTAACGTGCTTACATGCTAAGACGCGTCACAACGCTAACGTGCTAACACGCTCACACGCAACGTGCTAAACACGCGTAAACACGCTGAACGTGCTAAGACGCTCAACACGCTAACGTGCTAAGATGCTCACACGCCAAAGTGCTAACCACGCTAACGTGCTAAGACAGCTCCACGCTAACGTGCTAGGATGTGATAAGACACTCAACACGCTAACGTGCTAAACACTCACACGCCCCAATGTGCTAACACGCTCACTTGCTAAACCTCACCTGTCGTCCCTTCGGCCCCAGAAACTCCCCACCGGGGAACCTCTCTTCGGAGCCCCAGTTGCCCCCCCCCTCTGTGGCCCCCCCGTACCCCGGCCTCCAGCCTCCTCCGCCTGCTGTGGAAGTCCTGTTCCCCCCTCGAAGTCCTGTGGGCCCCGGCGGCCTGCTGCTCGCCCAGTAGGGCCCGAGCCTGGCCCTGGCCCTTGCCTGGCCCTTGGCCCTGGCCCTGGCCCTGGCCCTGGCCCTGGCCTGGTCCTGCCCGCCCCTGTCTCTCGGGGGCCCATGTGGTGGTTGGAGCGGGGCTCCTCCGGGATCTGAGGAGAGGAAACAGACCTTATCAGGATGGGGAGGGGCCTCGCGGATTAACCTGCACAGGCGCCTCCCTCTTACCTTTGTTGTCGGACCCCTGAGAACCCATCCCGTGCTCATGGGCCACGAGTTCATGCATGTTGAGGCCCCTGCATGTCCTGGGGGTCCCTGCATGCTTCCCTGAGGGCCCCTGCATGTTTTCCCTGGCCCTTGCATGTTCCCTGGGGTCCTGCATGTCCCTGGGGTCTTGCATGTTGCCCTGGGGGGGCCCTGCATGTTTCCTGGGGGCCCCTGCAGTTTTTTTATTTCCTGGGGGTCCCTGCATGTTTCATGGGGTCCCTGCATTGTTACCAGGGGCCCCTGCATGTTTCATGTGGTCCTTGCATGTCTACCTGGAGGGCCCCTGCCATGTTTCCTGAGTCGGCCCGTGCATCCTCCCGGGGGCCCCTGCATGTTGCCCATCCCATAGTTGTTTTGTGTCCTGGGGGGACCCCATCAGCACCCCCCTGACGGTGGCATCATCCCCCCTGAGGTGGAGGTCCCTGAGGGTCTCTTTGGACCCATTCCTCGAGGAGGGGGCCCATCATCCATCCATGGGGGCCCTGCCTCCTTCTGGGTATCCCATAACCGTGAAGGCCCCTGGGGCCCATGTTCCTGGGCAGGGCCAGGGTGTTCTCTCTGCATGTACCTGGGGGCCCATCATGCCCTGAATGGGGTCCCTGATGGAAGCCTGGGGTCCAGAGGGGGGCCCCATCTGTCCGGGGGGCATGAAGGGAGGCTGCTATGGGGGGCCCATGTTGTTGGGCAATCTGCTAGAGGGGCATGTTGGGGGGAAAGCCCTGCTTGCCCAGGGAGGCATCGGCCCCCGGGGCCCCCAGGCCGGAGAAGGGGATCGACCCTGAGGGGGCCCATGTTCCCGTCTGAGCTATCTTCATCTGCTGAGATGAAAACACACAAGGTCAGAGTTAGGGGCCCCTGATCCTCTGCATAATGAGATTTACTACTGACACACTTGTTAGTGAGACAAGAGTTAACTGTAGGAGAGACGCAAGCTAACAGGCTAACAGACTAACGGCTAACGGCTAATTGTTGGTTTCTGATTAAAACCCGTCCAGTGACGACAGGCTGAGATTTCACCACCTCTGATTGCCTTTTAGAAGCTGCTCTACCGCCTCTCATATCGGTTCTCCTTTTACCCACAATTCCCTTGAGTGCACTCA